ATTCAGCTTGAGGAGAACTGGACAGGAAGTCTTTCAACCTTTCATAGACATGTAAGACAGTACTTGAGGAAGAAAGCTTCTCCGTGGCAATCAACGATTTCCAATCAACAAAAGATTTCAATACGCAATTTCCAATCAACAAAATATTTCATGAAGTAATTTACAATCAACAAAATGTTTCATGAAGTAATTTCTAATGAAAAAAATTAGATGATTGCTCCTATCCATCCAAGGTCTGTATAGCTGTTAATGCCAACTACTTGAAGTCCAAAAGTAAGATCCCTCACTCAGACACACACACAGTCGCTCATTCGGTTGCCAACTGTCTGACATGTCGAGCGGATGGCTTCTGCGATAGCGTGACATGTCTCCTTCTCTCTCCTTCTCTCTCCTTCTCTCTCTCTCTCTCTCTCTCTCTCTCTCTCTCTCTCTCTCTCTCTCTCTCTCTCTCTCTCTCTCTCTCTCTCTCTCTCTCTCTCTCTCTCTCTCTCTCTCTCTCTCTCTCTCTCTCTCTCTCTCTCTCTCTCTCTCTCTCCTCTCTCTATCTCTCTCTCCCCTCTCGCTCTGCTTTCCCTCCTCCCCGCTACAGGTGGCCCTGCTCCTGCAGGCGGAGCGATACAATGAGGGGGAGAGGATCGTGACGTGCGGAGAAATTTCCGATCGTCTCTTCCTCATCAGGAGGGGAACCTGCCAGGTTTCCTGCAAGAGCGGGAGGATAGTCAGCACCTTGTGCAAGGGAGATTACTTCGGGGAGGCACAGGTCCTGCAGCGGCAGGCAAGTTTGCTATCCTGCTGCTGCTGCTGCTTCCTGCTGCTGCTGCTGCTCCTGCTCCTGCTCCTGCTGCTGCTCTCGCTCCTCGTTGCTCACGGCTCCGCTCATTCCATCCCCTTCACAGGTAACCACCACGACTGTCCTCGCCCTCGACTTCGTCGAGACCTGGTTCCTCACTAAGACTCGTCTCGACGAGATTCTCGTCGACTTCCCCTTCGTCGCCAAAGTCCTCCACAAGTTCAAGGATGAGTCCTCTGCCGTCACCACCTCCGCCGTCCTCAAGAGCCTCTCGATCCGCCGAGATCAGGACGGAGCGCATCTCCCCACCCCCAAGATCAACAAGCAGGACGATATCGTCTCCCTCCTTCGATGGGCCGCCATAGTCGGCCGCGTCCTCCGCAGGCTCTACTCTGCCGACGCCACAGTCCGACTGAGCAACAAGCTCCTTCAGTTCTCCCACAACATCTTCGGGAAGCACAGGATGCAGGACGATGATGAGAGGAGCGAGTCAACGGCGACGGTCATGGAGGAGCGAAAGGGCAGGCAGCCAGGCAAGGCAGAGCCTGATGCCCATGCTAGCTCGCAGCCATGCCAGTGCCATGGCATGTCATCGTTGGACTACGAGGCTCTAGAGGCGAAGATAAGCAGGCTACAAGAGGTTCTCCTCCTTCCACCTCCCTCCTCCCTCCTCCCTCTTCCCTCCTCCCTGCTCCCCTGCTCCCTGCTCCCTCCCTCCTTCCTCCTCCCTCCTCCCTCCTCCCTCCCTGCTCCCTGCTCCCTGCACCCTGCTCCCTCCTCCTTCCTTGCTCCTGCTACCTTCCCCTTCCTCTCCCTTCTCGTCCTCCTCCGTGCCGCTAACACTCACTCCAATCTATCGACAACATCACTTGGGTCCACATAAAGAGACGCCTGCAGGCGCTCAAGGAACCCTCAGCTGACCCTCATCGCCGGCACTCAGTCGGGCCCAGCAGGACAACTCCGACATCACCCTCACCAAAGCACGCGTATCCCCCCGACCTAGAACACCACTGTCAAGAGATCGTAGGGGGGAGAAACTGCCCAGCGTGCGTCTTGCGCATGTGGCATGAAAGGAGGTGAAGGGGGGGGGCACTCTCCAGTTGTTT